GGGGGGGGGGGCCCCCCTACACGTGAAGTTTTCACGTGATTCATGATTCTCGAGGCTGCGAGCCCTTGACTTGCTAAAGCAAGAGCAACTCCAGCTAGCTGATGCTAGCTTTCGTGATAAGCTCACACAGCCTGGGGACAGTATGCATACAACCGCCACAGCCATCTAGTCTGCAAACACGTCAGCCAGAATCTATATGAGTTCCAGTCCTACGTCCAGTTGCTCCAATTGCTGGCATAGAACAGCAAAGACTACTGACCCAACAATGTCATCATGTCTACATGTCTACTGTTTTATTGCAGCTACAGTGACCCCATTGTTTCGACCCACCTACTCAGACCCCAACACCCGATGCCTCGCCGCCACGCGGTGTCGATGCGACGCGACCGGGTGTCGCCCCGTGGATTCGGCCCAAACGACTCGTTGGAGCTATGATTCGGCACGAAGTCCTCGGCACGGTGCCACCACGGTGCCGCCACAAAGCGGAGTGGAACTGAAGCTCTTTTTGGGGGGCCCTGAAGGGTTTCCAGACGTGAGGGGTACAAGTGACTTGAAGAGAAGACTTATGAATCTTTCGTGTAGTCACAAGAAGTAGGATGTTGAGATCTTCGAAAAAGTGGGGACTTCATGATCACAGAACAAAATGGCCCCCACCAAGACTCACCTGGAATCCTCAGAAAGAAAACATCGAGCTTCGTGAAAGTGTGAATTGCCACAAAAACAGCTCAAAAAACTGTGCTGTCAAGGATACTCCAGAAGAATCTCCTGCCTGCCCACCTTGATTCAACAAGTTCTGCTTGAAACCATTCCAATGAAGCTGACATCTTTGGATCAATTATGAAAGCTCCCCAAACTCCCAACCAATGTCTTTGTCGAAGCTTTCTTGGCACCCCAGCCATCAACACTTTGATGCCCATTTTATCCGCTGCTGCCACCAAGTCCTTGAAGTCCTGACGCGAGGACACGCGAGGACACACAGACTTAGCGATCACGGAGAGCGCACGCGCGACTCGGAAAGAAGAATCACTTGAGGGTCAATCCTATTCACTGGGCACAGTGAGCATAGTGCTTAATAGAAGATTCACGAGAATTGGTGAACACAGGTGCACACCCCTAACGACTAGTGCAGTGACTAGAGTAGGGTGAGGGATCAAAAATATAAAAGATCTGCATCAAAAAAGTTCAAGAGGGATCAAAAAGAAAAAAGAAAAGGATCAAAAAACATATTCACAGCGAAGAAAAATAGAATGGGGAAAGGACAGTAGTGTAGTAGTAGTAGAAGAAGTAGTAGTAGTAGCAGCAGTGGTGGTAGTAGTAGGGGTAGGGCACAGCGCTTCCTAAGCGAAGGTTTCTGGCTGTCACGCTTGGCGAAGGCGGGCCTTATCATCCACCTTTGTGGCAGCGTCAACGCAAAGAAGATAGTACTTGTGGTAACTGTGGTAAGACTCGTAGTGGGGTGGGGTGGTCGGAGTGATAGAGGTACTGGTAATAGTAGGGGTAGTGGACGGCAGTGGGAACTATGAAAAAGTGGGAGGGGGTGCGGGGGAGGGCGCAGCGCCTCCCCCCCAATGCAAATCAAGTATAGACAGCGCTATCCCCCTACTGGGTAATACCTTACCAGCGAGCTAGCACCCCACTGGGAAGCTCTCTCTCCACTAGGGAGCTACCAAGACTGAAGGACCATAAGATCAGCGGACTAGGAAGGGGACCAGAGTAGTAGCGGACCAGGAGACCGAAGGGCCAGGGGACCAGCGGACCAGAGGACCAAAGGACCAGCGGACCAAAGGACCAGAGGACCAGGGGACCCAAGGACCAGGGGACCGAGTCAGGATTATGGATTTTGTTGATGTTGTTCTTTTGTTGTTTGATCCTGTTCTTTTTTCTTTTTGATCCTGATGCCACTGGAATAGGCCCAAGGATCTGCAAGTCCATGATAGACGTGCCTCACTAAACGTGCCTCGCATCCGAGCCAAATGGGCATGAATGGGCTGGGTGTCGATTCGAACTAAGAAATGCAGCACCACGAATACCCCGCCGGATCCCAGGTGCTCATCATCCGGGAAAACCATCCGACATGGGTGCTGGTACACTAGGGTGAACTCTCTGGCAGTCCAAAGGAGTCGAAAACGGCCAGAAAAAGGTGTCGACTGTCTCCTTTGATACCCGGGCCGGGTTGATACCAGAATCATTCCTGTCCCCATTTCTGGGCAGGAAAACCTGCATAAACATGGGTATCCAATGGCATCCATAAACCTCTCTTTAAGTATTACGTATCTTTCTCTTTTCGGACATCTTTCTTCTCAAAAGAAAGAAACTCGCCCAGACGAGGTTGCTCCTGGAGCGAGCCGAAAAGGGCATCAATGTCGTGGAAGTCGCTGATGTCGTAGCCTGTCGGTGCGTTGGATGGGTGAGGAAGGGCCGACGTCGGTGCGTTGGATCTGACCGGAAATCACTGCATTCACCCTCGCTCCTCTCTCCCTCCATACCCTCCCTCCCTTCCTGTGTTTCAGCCTCCATCCACAGCACGTGAGACCGGAATGAGTCAGCTTTGCCCACAGCTATAGTTTTTCATCCACAGCTATGACTCACCCATGACTTGACCCTCCCAGAATGCCACCAACAAGACATCTCCTGAATGAGTGTGCCACAAAATTCTTCACAAGTTGAGCCCCATCTTATGACGCGAAAAAAATGTCATGGCCTGCTTTTTGAGCTCTATCACATACATGACCCCATTAAAATAGTATACCCCATTCAACCCATTTGTCCATGTCCCATGTCTCACTCTCATGTGTGTCCTTCGCGGGAAAAACGACAAAAACGGGTCTCCCGGGCCGAAGTCCCGCATGGGGCTCTTCATCACAGGGGAGATCCAGACAAAGCCGACGCCCAAGTCCTGGCCGTTCGCTGCATTTCGCGTTGGATCGCGTTGGGGTGTTCGACTACTAGGCTTCGGACAAACCTGGGCCGTTGGGATTTCCGGCGCCGACTCTGTAGACGATTCATCAATCGTCCTCAATTGGGATGTTCAAACCTCTTCCTATGGAGAGTTGAAATATCAACAATCTACATTGACTCCGTGATGGGAGTGAGGGGTGGCTTAGCGGCTTGGTTTTGCTGAGAACCCGAGTGCCTCGTGGAAGAAGCCCCCCACAACTCCACGACTTCGAGTCCCGTCCTTCAAGTAAGGAAGCCTCGATTTGATGCCCTTCAAGTCGCCCGTACCGTCTCCGTTCGAGTCTTGAAAGGAGCGTGGATAGATCCTCAGCTTCGTGGCCAAGCGGATGCCCGCAGGAGGTACATGAACGTCGGACTGCATGAGGGTGAAAACCCGCCATACCACATCGGCAAAATCATCGTTATAAGTTATAAGCTTTATCATGTTTTATCAGTTGGAGCAACCTCATCCCCTTTCATCCTTCTTGGTCCTTCAAGCCAGCCAATTATATATATATATTATACTTATATATATGTGGGTGGAAAGCGGGCTGGGACACTTTGTTGAGGGGCGTTTTTCAGATTGTCTCCTGGCAGCCGATCTATGCCGATGTCATCATCTGGTTGTGGTAAGAAAGTAGGGACCGACGATGGACTTGGTCATTGCTTTTTCTACCACCGGGTTGACCACCTCTGTGAAAACGCTGCTCATTTGCTCATCCGTCGAGACGCATATCATCAACCCTTTGGTCCGTCGAGAAACACTAGCACCCTGAAACAGCATTATGAATGCAAAACATTACAAAGCAGGATTGTGATGGATCGCAGACACAACCAGAACCACATGCTAGGATCGGATCGATTTGAAGCTGAAGAAAAGAAGGCATCTCTTGCCCATAAGACCTCCTGGTGCACAAAAAAGGGTGCTTGAGCAGCCTTGGCCCGAGAAACAAGTTCAACTCACCCATAACATGATATGTTTGCAGTGTGCCGTGTGGATTTTCAAGGCGTGTGGGAGTTTCCAGAGGTCCCAGTGAGACAGCGGTTGCTGCTGCGGCACTGATACATCACTTCAGTCTCCCACCAGTGGGAAGCTTGCGCCTCAGAGCGAGGTCTTGAGCGTTTTCACCAGTGGATCGCTCTTTTCAAAAAACACATCCATGACACAAAGGACTACATGGGAAAACGTGGTTGCGTCTGTGTGTCTGTGTTTTGAATCGTGTCATTCCACTCTGTAGAGTACAAAAAGTGGTAAAATGATCAGGACTTGGTCCATGAAACATGTCGAATGGTCAACAAGTCCTTTCCACAGAATTTGGGGTGTGGGACAGCGGCTACGCCTGGGGTCATTCACAACGGTGGATGTTTGTGGGCATCTGTTCCGAACGGACGAGATGCTGCTGTCAAAAGGCCGGCGTCGTCGCCTTGAGACGTCCCCACGATTAGGACCAAACTGGTTTCTTCTTGGCTCCCAAATTGACACCCCTTTCCCCGTAGAAGCCTGCAAGACCCTTATGTCGCCGCACACGGTCGAATTTCCTCCGTCCAAAGCTGTTTAACTGTAAAGAAACAAGCTGATTTGGGGATGTAGGACAGCAGCGGGTGCGCCTGGGTCCTCCAATACACATCCAATTAGTTGGTGACCAGTCTTTTCCTAGGACCCGATGCTGTCAAAGGGCAGCTTCTGTTTGAGACGTCCCCATTTGTGTAGGTCGTGAGCGATTTCACATGGTTTTAAACAGAGATCCTACTGAAATAGCGTCCACTTGTGGTTGGTGGAGTAGCATCAATGCTCCAGCTTTCCAAGCTAAGAACTGGACCACCCAAAGGCTCAGCAAAAGCACTCGTCTCGCCATACTTGCCATGGCTAGGGCTTGACACGCCAAAGTTTGCCTGAACCCAGATGCCTCCGAATGGAAGCCTCAAACAAACAGCCAGTCTCTCACCTCTGCTCATTCAGCCCATTCCTATCAATATGCTGAATGTTTGTTCTACATTGATTCTACATGAACACAAGATATTCTGACCAAGGGTCTTATTTCGGAGTGGTGGTGTTGACACACAAAGCAAGTTCATCGTTCCAAGCGCGAACAAGAACCGTGCGTTCCGCCGCAGCCAAGGCAGCCAAGGCCATCTGGCTGGACACCTTCGAATGACGGTCTCTCCCTCGGTGCTTCCGTGCCGTCGAGGTCGACCGCCGTCGAGGTCGACCGTCCGTCTTCCTCAGGGCCGCCACTCGTGTGGGAAGCGAATCAATGTCCCCCGAGGCAGCGAAGCCTGGCCGGGGGGACGGAACGGGTGACGGCGATTTTGTAGGATTCGGGATCACACGTTGATCAAGATTGCGCGGACAAAAGTAGTTACAAAGAAAACTCTGAGTAGGTCAACTGAGATGAAACCTGGCAAATCTTCACCTTGCCTTCCAACAAATGACAAAGGTTCTCACTCATATCTATCCATATGTCGTACATTCTTCTTCCTGAGTTTGTGGTTCTTCTCCTTCGTGCCGTCACAAAAGGACAGCTGAATGGAATCGCTTCGTTCGGAGCAGTTTTGCCTGACCGTTCCCAGCCGCCCACTGGTCGCCCACGTTTCCCCCCTCTGGCCAGTCGGATATCGGTGAACACCGGCACGGAGCCAACGTCTTGCATTAAGAAGTCCTCGCGGGATTCGGGTGATGAGGTCCGTCTGAGGGAAAAAAAGAAGCACGAAGCACTGGTTGGTTGGTTTGCGTGGGTTGGTGGGGGTGGTTGATTGATTGTCTGGCTTCACTTCCACCCTTACATCTTGCAGCCCTAGTTGTTTGGTGGATCAGTTGGCTTTGCCAGCGGCCCCCCTGCAGTTCGCGGAACATCGAATGTCAGGTTCTGTGAATGACTTGATGAAACCGGGTGTGATTGAAACGACGAAGTGATTTATATACACCCACCAGTGCAATATTGATAGAAAAATGCTGCACAAGCTGTCCATGAGATTTTCTCATGATGCAATATCTCATCCAGAACTGTACTTCACGTCACTGTGGGTCTGTTGGTGAGTACGTAATAAGTATGGCTTCGTATTTTATGATGCCAGGGAGAGCCACAAAAGCAATGGGTTGTTGATTGTTTCTGTTTTAATCGTTTTGTTCCTTTGACCTTTCACCTGACCTGAGAGACTGGTCTGGGGTCTTCGGATTCAAATACATGAACATCCTCATCCACCCTCTACACTTCAACTTCTGTTGGTCCAAGTCGGCGAATGTGACCAGAACCACCACCAAACCTGCAGAAAAACGACACCATCTACGACCTACCTGACCTACCTGGTGAGCGGTCCCTGACCTGTCTTGAGCGGTCCCTGCTCGGTCCCTTCGCGTCACCAGCAAATCCAGGCGTCTGGGAAGCACCCCACCTCGGCATGAGGGGGGGAGTCTTGGATCAGATTCTGTGTTGGGCGTGAAGGTGCTGAAGGTGGATGATGAATACTCCTTGCTCCGTTCGTAGCGTCCGATCGCTCCTAGTAGTACGGCCAGGAGCCCCGTTCGTAGCGTCCTTGCTCCGTTCGTAGCGTCCATGGATAGGATGAGCAAATGATGAGTTATATAATCTTCGATCCGTCGCCGCATCGAAGCTGCACTGGACAACCCGCACGCCATCGGAAGATCTGCAGTGCCTCGGCCACCCGAAGGAAAAAGGCTTCAGCTTTCTCGCCCAGGGGATAGGAGGAACTTGTCCCGAGAACTAAGGCAATTGGATTGGTGGGGCATGCAAATCTTGGCGTAGCAGCACTAAACTATACGCTTTGGAAGGTGATAATTTCCTCTATCAGTCCAACTCCACCAGTTTCGGGTCGCCAGGTTTCGGGTCGCCAGGTAAGACTTGCACGCAGTTGCCTGTTGTTTCAATTGCTTAATAAACCTTGACAGACCTTGTTGGAGGCAGAGCACGGAAAACTCAAGTCAGTTCTGACAGAACTGGGGTCGCCACCTCCCTTGATTCAAATCCCCTATTCATGCAACTGGCAGCTTTCAATCGGTCAATCGCCATGATCCATCCAAACGATGCTGTCGGATAGAGAATCCCCTTAAACATCAACGCGTGTGCCTTCTTGGTCACCTTGGACTTGGAGTCAGAGGTTTGGAGTCATGACATCTTTTTGAATCACTTGGAAGAAAAATACCACGCGGACAACCCCATGGGCCCACTCCTTGGTTGGATCCTCCGTGCTTGAGTTGTGACATCTCAAACAGTGTGATGTCGTCCTTCCGTTGACTTTGGAGGCTGTTTTCCGCATTAGGTGAAGGTGGGCAAACATGCTGTTTGCGTTTGAATCTTGGAACTTGGAGTTCTTGGAACTTGGAACTTGGATCTCACCTCTGGGTTATTGGAACATTGTTATGAGACCTCCGTTTGGTTAGCCTCCTCTAGCATTGCTCGTTCCTATGGCTTGCCCAAGCCACCTATATAGGTCAGGTAGCTTCCGGCGGCAATAAATGCAGTTTTCAGAAAACGATTCCCCGGTGCGATCCTTTAAACAGGCTTGAAATTTTCATGCACGTAGGCAATATGCTGTTAGCAAACCCAGACCATCAGCGGGGATCTATGCCATTATGCCGTGCATGCCACTGTGAACAGATCAGTTGCTGGAGCTTAGGAGGCGGCAGTGTAGAACGCCGCAACCTGGCGGAAGGCGCAGGTGGAGCGATGCCAACGAACTAAAAACCAACATTTGCCAGACCAGCTGCTGTAAAGAATATCCTGAAAAATCCACCCTATCGATGCCCAGACGTGGTGGGATTTCCAAACATGTTCTTGAGAAAGCTTCTATTCTTATATATATATATATCAACTCAGAAGAACAGAAGAGATGGCTATGGAGACAACAGCTGAACCGACAAAGATCGGAGATTGAACAACTAGACCGGAGTGCAGGTAGGATTAAAAATTTACTATAAAGTTGAGGTAGAGACCTTTGGGGTTCATTTCACTCGTCCGTTTGAGGTGTATGGGTAGCCCGATAGGAACACATATTTCCTATTTACACAACATACGCACGCATATATAGATATATACATCATGTGTATATATATATATACAGTATGCAAAAGTCTGTCAGATGAGGCAAGCATTCTATCATACAACTGCCCTCACTCGTCTCCAATCAGCCAATCAGCCCACAAACATCTGCTTCCGTCCACTCCACACACGAATCGTCTAGTGCCAGGTCAATCGACCTGGTGTGCGTTCATGAAGTCTGAACGCTTTCGCACGCAAAACACCTCGTAGTTCTTTCCTCATAGATGCTGCCCAGTACAGGATGCGAAGCTCCTTTTCTGGGATAAAGCTCGTCTGACAAGCAGACCAAACAAAATGCAAAAACCATGTTCAAGGCGAGATTTGTTCAGTTTACCTTTGTTTTCTAAGTTTATTGGTGTTCTCGGTTTTCGTGTTTTCTTGGTGTCCTCGTATTCTCGGTGTTCGCATTCTCTTGGTTTTCTCGGTTTTCTGGGGCGAATCCTCTTACCAGTAGGTGGATGTTGCTTTAAAACTATTGCTGAGTATATATTAATATGTATATGTATATACATAGGAACTTTGTCGAGGCAATCCTATCACCATACGCTGACATACATGTCACATACTATATATATATAGACTGCTAGCGCGACAACGCCGTCGAAGTTGCAAGGTATGGCAGATTAATCTAAATCTCGCTCTGCTAGTGAACCAAAACCGTGGGGTAGCCGAGCAATCTAGCCTTGCTAGTGTGGCGAGGCAGCGGGCCAGTGTAGTTTTCATTCTGCTATTTTGGTCACAGCCTGGGCAAGCCAAGCAATCCACCTTTGATTTTCGCGGAGCTGTGAAGATGACCGCAAGGAGGCCTTGCTGAACGATAAGCTTTAGAACGTTGTTGCGCGGAAGTGACACTTGATTATCCCGTGCACAAAACTGTGTTCACATCTTCCAGTTCGCTCACTGATGAAAGAGCTCTCTTTTGACGATCAGGACTTGCTCTGTCTGCTGCTCTTCTGCCAGCTAAAGAAACGGAGTGCCGCTGTCGAACTGGGTTCGATCTTTTGGGCCGCGGATGCCGCAATTCGATGCTCTTTTGTTCCATAGTTCCATTGGTGCTCTCCAAACCTGCTATGCAAAGCCAGCGCGCCTTGATTGAGCCTTGACGTCGCACCAAGCTTCTTCAGTGAAGAGGTCATGGGACAGTGCACGGGCCAGCACGCACTCGCACGGTTGGAAAACAAGTCGCAACATGATGAGCCAATATGAGCCAGCATTTTACCAAAATTCAAGACATGAGTTGCTTGCTTTCGCAGCGTGCTGTGATGCAAGGCGCGGATGAACCCGCAGTTCCATGAACTGATCTGCGCAGTTTCCCAGTCCGCTTGGCAGTTGCGCACGCTCCCTCGGAGTCGGATTTGTCCATGTGATTCGAGCGTGCGTCCAGTTGAGGTTGCAATTGCCGCAGCAAGTGAGACGAGCTGCGGAACAAGAAGTCATGATTGCAGTTTCGTGACAAATTGTCTGAGTTGCGTGACAAGCAATCTTCATTTGCTTTCTGCAGGAACAACTGAACTGATTGTCACGGACATGATGCAAGCATTCGAGGAACCGTGCCTCCCTGGAACAACTAAACAGACATGTAATACATGAATTGGGGTTCAAATTGAGTTATATAACTATATAACTCTCTATAGTCTATCTAAACCGCAACGCCAAGTGTAGCACGAATTTCAAAACAACATCCTACCAAAGGACCCTCGATCACATATAGTATCAGTCTATATGCATACTATATGTCATACTATATATATACTACTATATTATTATGCATACTATCAGTCTATCACATATAGTCATATAAGTCATATAGTATCAACCTATTTGGTCCCCCATTTGTGGAAACCCGATCACCGACTGGGTCGCCCAAGCCCGGCCAGTCTCCAGGCAGCTCGCTGGGTCGATCTGAGGAAGCGCAAATCGAAGGCTGAAACATAAGCGAAATCACAAACTGAACACTGAAATCACATGGCTTCGACACCCTGAAGATTTTGCCCAGTAGAATCTGGGAGTGGGTGGGATTGGTTTGAATGAAATCATCGTAAGTCTCCACTGTGTGCAAAAACGTGTTGAATGTTCAGAAGTTCAGAGTGATTACATGGCATGCGCACTTGTGCATGCCAGGAGTGTCCTGAGGTGACTGGTGAATGATATAGTATTGCGCTGCACATATCCTCTACCACAACTCTGAGGTATCTTAGTTCTGTTTCTTTCAGAACCCCATGGAAGAGAATGTTTCTACACCTCTGCGTGATTTAATTAGTCCTTCAAATGTTCAAAAGCTTGGAGTTGAGGTCTTCGAGTACTGTGGAGACACTCACGAGGAGTCATACGACGAGGAGTCATACGACGAGGAACGCTTTCGAAGGCCTTCCTGCAAATACAAGTAACCTAGTAGCGTCCGATCGCTCCTAGTAGTACGGCTAGGAGCCCCTAGGACCTAGAAGCGTCCGTGCTCTCGCTCCGTTCGTAGCGATGCCCCTTGCTCGATGTTCGAGGTTCAGATTCAACGGTGCCGAATGGATTCGGCCCAGCCTTCAGCTCAAAGCCCCTCCGCTGGATCCAGCCTATAGACAGGGAGGCCGGTGGTGAAAAAAAGTTGGGGCAGGCATCCTGGAAGGTGGTGGTTTTTCAGAAGGGATTTGACCGTGTCAAGAGGTCCACAAGTCAACCTATTTTGGACCTTTCAGATCCTCACGGTGGAGTGTCCTGGACGTGCGGTGTGGAAGTTCATGGTCCCGTGGTTTGGAAGAGCCCCCCGCTGAAAGGAAAGGAACATAGAGGAACAAGGTTTGGCCAAACCTGGAGGATTCCCAGATCCTCCTCATCCTCCTCATTTTCCCATCTTTTTCGCTGAGGTCGCAGCAAAGATCCAGGTCGCTACTATGAAAGATGCTGGCGATGTCCTGTCGACAGAGTGCGACCGTGGCAAAAGGCAAAGGGATAGTGAAAGGGAAAATTAGAGGGAAAATTCGAAGAAGACTTCTACTGGAAAGAAAGCTTGGTCAAGGTAGACTGCAGCGAAATTGATGTTGATGCTGACTAAGGTGATCAAAGATAAGTTCGAGCTTTTGGGATTGCAAGGTATTGCTGGTTTGGGCTCCAAGTAGGAGCCGTCTCTCCTCTCGTGACAGGGCCAGCGCAAGGGGTCGAGACCAATCCCCGAAGCCTCATTCTTCACAACTATGTAAATCTTTGAGTCGGTCCGGGTTCCCAGTGCTGAAAAAAATATCCAAGTTCCAAAGCAGGGACCTGCCAGCACATTCCAGCACCAATTATGAAGCTGACTTTGCGGACTTGCCACTGTCAGAGATTTCTTCATGAAACTTTCAGTCATCGCTTGCCGCCTGTCACCGAGGCCCAGAAAAAAAGAAAAAAACACCCTTTTCGGTGACGGCGAGCATCAATGACGTCGATCGATCGATCCGGATCGCGGCGGCGTTGGCGCCCAAGTTCTCATGAAGAGTGGCAGCTAGAGTTCCGATGGAATTTCTGAACCCTCCAGGCGAAAACCATTGAGGAATTGCCCATGAACTTCCCATTTTCCAGACATGGCGATGTGCTTCTTCTAGGTCTAATCTTGGGCAAGATTCAAGCAGCCTGATCTTTTGATGTTTATGAAGTGCAATCTGCTTCAAGACTGATGATTAGACTCAGACTTTCGTGCCTGTACACTGTACAACTTGTTCCTCCGCCGGAATGAGGAAACCCCCACGAGATGGAGGAAGAACGGGCACCGGATGGCTAAATGCTCTTCTTTTCTATCACGACGCCGTATCTCTATGTATCTCTCAAGGACTGAGGATCAAGAACCTCACCAACACCAAATCTCCGAGACTTTTGAGGGGAACGGACCAACTCTTCCCTCGGTGACCGGCTCGGTGACCGGCTCTCTACCACCTCGGTGCCTTTTGGTTCTACGCCCTGCTATGATGAACACAGAACCTGCCAAAAGACCACTGGTTTGTGGAGGGAAACGGTCTACTTCCTATCCCTCCAGAGGTCCATTTTGAGGTTTCATGTTCATCTTCCCGGGAGAAACCGCTGAGCCCAACCTGCGGGCTCAGCGGCGCCAGCGCCGAAGAACGAGGGTCTCACGCCAGGGGCTCCGTCACGGAGGACCCCGTGAGGGTCAAGGGCGGCGGAGTCTTGGGACCCTGCTGGGCGCGGCTGTTGTTCACCTCAGACAAAGAGTTGGAAGAGTCCATCCACCTGAGATGGGTATGGTATGCCGTTGTTGTATGTATAAATTACATATATACATATATACATATATATATTATATATATATATAGTCTAGACATTACCAAAATAGATGCAAAGTATGTGTGCATGTGTATATATATATATATACTGGGGGCAAGTGACTGAGGAGTTAGGGCTGCTAATGTTATTGGAGTTATGGTAGGTTAACTCCTCAGTCATGTGCCACCTGAAAATTGGCAAAAACAGGGCAAGCAGATGAGATAGGACTGCCAAAAAAGAAATAGTCGAAATCAGAACTGTTTAAAACGTTCAATTTCGATGGATGTTTGATGATTGTCGGAGGTAGGTATAGACAGCTCTTAGCTACCTCTCCTGATCATTTCCCAATGCTGATGACTGAGGAGTTACAAAACCGCGGCATATGTTTTCTAACTCCTCAGTCACTTGCCTCCAGTATATATACACAGCAACTGTGGGTCAAGGCAGCAACACCGGGGGAAAAGAAACGAGCTCTCCTCCTCCGATGGGGTCATTGACTCGATGTGAGTGTTTGGTGTCCGCGGTGTCTGGGTTCCTGTACTTGTGGGTGATTCCTTTTCCCCAGAATCATAGGGCCAGTGAACATAGTTTTTCGACTTCCAATGTCAAGCCAAATTTCCAAGGTCTGTCTGCCCAAGACGACTAGATCCCTGACCCAAAGGATTCCCTCCAAGTCTGTTGGATCATCCCAGTCTTGAGGAGCTGCAAAATTGTCCCCAATGTTGGCCCCTGCGTCTTCAATTGATGTCCAACACCAGGTTAACAGTATCCTGACTGACAGGGGCACTTGAAGTAGCTCAGGTGGTATATCTCTCACAAACCTGCAAACGTTTTCATGAGATGTAGCAATTTGGACAGAAAAACTCATGGCCTTTGGTCGGCCGCCTCCAACCTGGCACGTGCGCCACAGCCTGGCCCCGGCCCTGATCCCCGAATCCCGGCGAGTCACTTCAGCCTGGGTGAGCAAGAAGCGGGTGTAGACCTCGTTCTGGGTTTCCTCCTGTCGGAAACTGAGAACTACTAGTAACACGGACGCTACGGGCGGCGGAGGCCATCGCTATTAGGATGGAGGCCATCGCTACTAGGAGCAAGGACGTCAACTAACTCTGCCCAGGACGAGTGCAGCTTGTTTTCAGGTACCTTGCAGAGGTATCTTACCTGAACCAATGCACACCAAAGTGAACAAAAAGAATTCTAGACTGTGAGGAGGTGAATCTACACCTGGACATCCTGAACGTCATGCTTCTACCAAAACACAAGTATTTATTCTATTATCCGAATACTCAGACTCATCTTCAAGTATAATATAAAATATAAACATCATAGTTATAGTGCACTTATCTTTCTCCAGAAAGACCCAAGGTGAGTGATCACAAGCATCGCAACTCTTTTCCCGAAAGCTGTGCGCGGTTGCTTTGTCCACGACAGCAGGCGGGCTGTGGTCACTTTTGTGGCAATCGTGTGGTATCCAGAAGACGTCGCTGAAGCCTTCTGCAACGTGAAGGATCTTTGGCCAGCATCTTTGGCTGAGATTGATTCCTCAGCATCCCAGAGTTTTGGTGCGGAGACTGGGAAAACCTGGTGAAACCTGTGTCCCCCTTACCGACCGCCTTAGGCCTTCCCTACAAAGAACAACGATGCATGGCCCACATGGAGCAGCGTCCCTCTCCATCCCCTCTCCGTCCCCTCTCCGGGGCTCAAGAGCTTCTCCCAACGATCGCACTCCAGCCAGAGGAATCCAAAGCCCTGTGAGAAGAAGAAACGTGACGAGGGACCCGGACCTTTGGACCCCGGTCATGGGCATCTTTCCTCTGCAAAAGAACATCCAAAGGGTCCAGCCACTTGACCGATCCACAGGATTCGATTTCTCGCTTCGAAAAGCAGAACTTGGGTCGCTATGTTTCTCAGCCCCACCAGGTTCGGCTTACTCGCCCTTGGAAACACGTGGACAGACCGGATCTAGTCTTGGAAGTTGGTCCCCAATCCTTGTGGATCGGCGAAGATCGTCCTCTTCGCTTACTCGGTAGCTGAGCAGGATGTTGTTTAGAGCTTGGTGTGCCTGTTGTTCAAGTCCATTGAGCAGCTGCGACACATTCTTGAAAAAAAATTGACGAATACAATACAGCACAGCAATGTTCTTTTTCAATTTGTATATTGCATCACCAGCATCACCACAAGGGGGTGTCACACCACTCCACGACCAAGTCAGAAAGGGACTTGGGGTAGAACAGCAGGGGAGCTCACCCGCACAAGTGCTACAACCATCGTGTTGTCACCGACATCGATCGACATCGAAAAAAAGAAACAAAGAAACTGGAAAACAACTGATGCTTCATGATGCTTCTCACTGAGTTGATAAAGACTCCAAACAAAAATCCCTCAACTCTTTTGGTCTCGGTGGTACCTCGGCACCACCTCGCCCGGTCAACGGCTCACCCAAGAGCTCGGACACCACGTCGGCCGACCGCTCGCGGGCGATCACCTCCTGGTTTCGGCGGTCGGGGTTGGTCGGCATGTCCTTTTTGAGTCCCTTTGAATGTAGGTTGCAATACCACAGGGGGGGGATCCTGCTTGCATGGCACATCCATGTACATCCCTTGATGTCGGCTGTGAGCTCCGCCTTCACTCTGCAGAACGACGTCTTCATGTCCGTTGCAGCATGAACTAGTCGGAGATCCCAGGTGCCCCAAGTCAGTCCTGGACCCCAAGGTCGAGCACCTTCTTGGGCTTTGGACATCTCTTGTCGTATTCCTTGCCCCGACAGCGGAGGCATCTCCGCTCGAAGGGACCAAGGCAGCCTTGGACACCCAGTGGAAATCTCACGCAAGGAAAACGGATCCCTTTCTCTATGTTTCCTGTGGTGTTGCGGAGTGCTTTCTTGGTTTTTAGATCAAGACCCTGCGTCCATTTGGTGTGCCAAACCTCCCAGGAGATTCTAGATAGTTCTTGAAACTCAAGAGCGATTTGCAGTGTTCCTGATGGGGTCTCAGCGGTCGCCAGCCAAGCCATCTACCTTCCACTCCAGCCGGGCTTGAGTGGTCCATTCCAGCAAGGGCAAATGCTACAATAAGTTGCTGGACAGCGACAGGGGAAAACCAAAGGGCAAAAGAATGTGTTCCATTCCTGAACAATGTTATTATTGTTATTATTGTTCAGCAAGAGCAAAACTAAAGCCTGTTGTTCAGGAAGTCAAAAACACACTTCGTTCGTCCCCGACCGGGTCGAATAATGCAGGCGAAAATATTCGCTTGGACAAGCATGCACAATTGGGCTGTGACTTGGTCATGTAAAGTTATAATAGGAATGCAATGCATTCGGCCACCTGCCTGAACCAAAGATCTCCAAGGTTGACCCGCCCCCAACAACACGACCTCACCGGTCACCGATTTGCTCCGGGGCACCACGATGGATGAGATGCCAATGATCTCCAGGTGCCTGCATTGCAAAGGGTGGTTGGAATCCAACAGCATCATTGTTATTTTTGAGGTAGTTTCATTCCATGCCAGAGACCCTCTCATCTCGATCATTTCTTGGAAGAGTTGAAGTAGGCAAAACTGGAATGTCAGTGCTGCTTGCCTCGTTCAATGACTATATCACAACAGTTCCAAGCTGGAATCCAAGCTCGTTCAGAAGTTTAAAAACAGACCGAACTCAACAATACGAACTCACAGGTTGATAAACAAACGGGAGCTGAAGTCCGTGTTCGAGCTGGTTCACTTTCAATTTCATGGGTCATTTGGCGATGAGGCCAAAGATAGAGGCAGACTCTGACAATGAAGAAAGCCATTCACGTTGAACCTCATGTAGCAAAACTAATCAATTAATGGTGACCCTACAGTTCTTGATGCTCTCGAATAATTTCGTGGTTGTGTATTTCAGCAAACCCCCAAGTAAGCAAATGGTTGTTCTAGATAATAAGTTGTATAGATCATTATAGATCCATTTCAATACACGCCCATCTCTCTTGATGGCCTGGCTATGACTCTGAGTCGAAACCGCCGAAAACCGCCGAGTTTTCCGCACCGTGGCCGAGATCGTCAGCTGCGAGAGCGCAAAGCTGCCCATGGGAGGAACCGGATGCAGGTAGACCTGGACGTCGAGTCTTCCACCGTGCTCCAGAGATGGACGGTGCCCGAACGACCAGGACGATGGCGCAGTTTAGATTTTGGAGGGGTGATTGCAAGCTGCAAGCACTGAAGTAAGGGGCCTCCTCGTGGCCTCTTCACAAACCGTCCCGGTTGAAGCAAAGGACACCAGGCTTTGGCGCATGGTCGCCCATCCAAGAATTTGGAGGAACCCCCAACATCCCCCAACCAATGGAGTCCTGGAGACCACAAGAGATCCTGCATCTCCAAGCCCTCCCATAGGATTTTTGGTACTAGAGGTTAGTCCAAATGAAATTGAGAAATGACCCTCCTCGATGCTCCGACCACAAACATTGAAAAAAGGAGGAGCGTGATAAGGACATCAAAGAACATGTCATCTCTCTATGCTTCCAAACTGTCCAAACGTTTGACTTCCATTGCCAGAAATCAAAGGATTGTCCAGCTCACAAAAGGCCACCGTGACTCTGACCCCAATTTGTGGGCTTGCACCCAAACCTGGTGACCGTGGTTGACCCGTCAATTGCTTGGGATTCACTTCGTCAATTGTTTAGGGTTGACCCAGAGCAAAAAGGCGCCCAAAGCGCGTGACTTGAAGTCCAAAGAGCGCCATCTGGCCGGGCACGAAGGAAGGCTTGATATTGCAGGCCCACCTGGGCGACATGAAACGACCCGCGCCCTGGGCTGGGCTGAGTGTGTTTGTTCAAAGCAGACCGAGAAAATGGGAGAAGGGAACTGGGAACATACGATCGCTATTCTATGGATACACTCATGGATACTTCTTCTCTTCTGCACCCAGCAGCACTGTTGTATGGAGGTTGAAAAAGCCACATGCTCAAGCCTGAAGTTCTGCGGGCACGGGAATTGGGAGGCCCATTCGGAGTCAGCCAAGCAACTTTGGGCTCGAATTCCTGGGTGACGTAGTCGTAAGCCTCGTTGGGAGAGCAGCTTTTCACGTCTTGCTGTGAGGTGACAAACAGGGGAAAGGCGTTCTGCGTGACCGAACATCAAAACGGCGAGCTTCATCGGTTGCGGCCGGAAGGGAGGAATCACACCGCCCACAACCTACACACAGGGACGGAGCAAGGGCAAAGGGGCTTAAGTTTACCAAGTGATCAAAAGGGGAGCAGCCCAAGGCCTGTGCGGACTTTAGCCTAGTCACCAGAAATGGTGCAGTTTCTATTGTGGACCTTTTGCATCCAAATTGGTTCCTACAACCATGGACCATGTGCATGGTTGATTCGGCTTAACATTTGATCCTCTCTGAGGTTCAAGCTGGGTCACTCGCTGGGCGCGAAAGCCAGTGGGGTGGCGGGTGCACTTGTACAGACCATGCGGCGCAGCACGTTACTCCCAAGGCGAAAAACAAATGGGATAAAACCCTGCGTTTAACGTGTACGTGCTTTGTGTGCGTTTTCACTCATCAGTTTACACCTGAAATCCAATCCGAATGCGGCCCATCAGTCGTCCCAGTGGCGATCTGAATGCGCTTGCACTGCGAGTACATCCGCTCATCCGCACCCAACACCTTCTCCGGCTCGGCGCCGGGCTTGTAGAACGGATAGACGTACCTGGCGTCCAAACGGCCAAGCAAATCAGTCGCTGAGGCCAAGAATTCGGTTCTTTCTTTAAGTGGGTCGCGAGGTTGTGGACGCTTGCAGTACATTCATTCCGTACCCTCCTACGAACAGTCCGGCGAGTCATAAACACAAGTTGAAACCATCGGATCTTGGGGGTACATGACCTGGTGATCCGCAGAATCCGCAGAATCCGTCAGTCCATTCGTTATCTTGGGTGGGTTGCAGTCGTCATCTTGGGTCCGATGAGGTCTCCAACCAAATCCACCGAGCAGGTCGTCATCTTCGCCCAGCGGCCATGGCTCTTGTCCCGCTTTGCAGTTGGATGCTCCTGGCATAGGGTAGCTGGGTGGCATCCAATCCTTAGGTGACCAAAAGGGTACAAATTAGAATCGTTTACAACTAGAATCAGACTGACAAATTGATAGTACATCCGTTCGTGATACCACAAGCGGTGATGAAATCATCACTGAAAGACCATTGAAACTCCCTGCGCCGGGGTGCAGATATGAATTCCTGCCCGAGCCAAGTTGTAATCCATCGCGGACGAAGTCGTGAATTCATGGAACATACCACTACGAGGAACCAAGCCCAACAACCCCCCTCTGAGAAATGCCCAGATTCCACGTGCACGGGCTTCATCAAGTCTTGACACCTCCCGAAGGATTTCTCCCGACAGTGAGAAATGTCTCGGGCGTGGGCATCAGTTTAACTGTAGTCAAACAACAGCTCAAGGTTCTTGGGGTTTTCTCTTCGATTCTTAGAAAAACGTTGAAGAGTGTCTGGCAAAACAGGCATATAGTTAGCCTTCCCCGTTGGTGGAAAATTGCCAACCCCCACGTTGGTAGTTTGGAGATTCTAACATAGCGTTGGCAACGGAAGTGGACCTGAGAATACCTGAAAGTGTGATCTTTTATGGTAGGGTGTTGGTGGAAAACGGTCACATAGCTACACATGCTAGCTGCTCAGGCACGGCTTCAGAAGCTCTTCCTCGAAGGAGTGCCGGATCATCGTCTTGTCTCGCGCCTGATGAGTCCGTCAGCCACTGAGACGTCGGCTCGGCCACTGCTGCGGTGCTTTGGTCTGCGCAACAAGAGACTATCTTTCAGGTGGGGTAGACAGAAAGGGCAGGACTTCGCGATACTTAGTGAAATGACTGATGAGTGGCACAGCTTCCAAGCACCTTTGAGGAAGATCGGAATTATCTTGATTGAAGTCCCACAAATTCAGGAGTGGCCTGAATGCTCTCTTCCAGTGCGAGGAAGAAGAACCTCGGCCAGCAGAAGCATGAAATCAATTACAAAGTGTTGCTTGATGGTGAGGATGCGCTTTTGCCCGCCAGGGTTGCCTGAATCTCTTCAGTCCAAAAAAGGCCTCTGTGGATAACTGGGCAGTGTTTCCCGGCACCATCCCAAGTGGAGGTTCATCCTATTTGCCAAAACAATTTTGAAACTTAATTCATCGCTCTGTAGCGCCTACCTGGTGAAGTGGGATCTGCACTCCAATTCAAAAGAGGGTTGAAACGAAGCGCCAACCCCTCCACCCGTCTCTGAACTGCCAAGCAGCACGTCCACTCGCCAGTGTTGTCCATCAGGGCCCAAAGATGCTAAGCCTCAGCGAACTCCCGGCTTTAACCCTCAATGCATCTTGGCCTCCAACCTACTAGCAATGGCCTCCAACCTGCTAGCAATGGCCTCCACCCTAGTAGCGATGGCCTCCAATATGCTGGTAAAAGCGAGGAAAGTTTGACCTGTACAAAACCATACAAAACCAATCTCCTAGACAGGCAGCCTGGAAGTGGTATATCCGCTGACCTTGCCGGCGTGTCTAACTGATGTTCTTGCTGTTGAAAGAACTGTGTAGCTGTAGGCTATAGTTCTGTACTAGAACTGTCCCCTGCGTGGATTTGCTTCGCCCCCTTCGTCCCCTTACTCTTCTTTCTTCTATATCTGTGTTCTCCAAATAAGTCCTGCTCCTGCCCAAGGAGCCTTTGCACCGAGCACTCAAACAGCGAAAAGTATTTAAGATGTTGCCGGATTTTGTGTTAGTTCTGACGTTGCACATGCTTTGCTTATGCATTAACAAGCTTTCACACCCACCAACAGCATTTTACATGCACAACCAACAAGTCTTTCAATAACTACTCGCAAGAGCTGCAATTGCACAAGTAATTTACCTACATCAACAAGTTTGGTACAAGTAGTTTGCACAACACATTCGTTTACACAGCCTGTTACACAAAACCGGTCCGTGCAAACACCTTTCTCCACAACATCTGCTGTTAGACCAAACATGTGCAAGCTACGCAAACAACGACAGCTGTTTGAACTTCATACCTCTTTCCCAAAGTCTGTTAGGAACTGTCTTCTTCTTGCCTTCTCCGGCTCTGCATTTGTCAAACCCAACCGCTCAGATACTGCAGCCTTCCACGTTTTGACTCTGTATAATTTTATTTGCTGTTTTGGCCCACGGTGTAGCCCTGTACGTCACGTAATTGTTTCTTTCATCACAGGCCCAAAGCAAAACCAAATAATGACCTGCAGTGGAAAGAAGCCGAGAGACCCTTCACCAGGTTTTCCTGGATGTTTTCACAGACTTCCGGCCATACCATCGCACGCGCAGCACCGATGATCAACACGGCCACAGCAGGAGCACCTTGAACGAAAGGCGTGAGCTAGGCGTGAGGACTGCGGCAGGCTGCTCTTCAAACAGATTCTGTCCTCGGCCTAGGGCAATTTACTGTGATTGCCAAGACCAATGAGGACTTCGTCTCTGACACTGCATGATTTCACGAGGTTGTGTTTTTGGATTATGGACCGAGCTCAAACCCACGGAATCACCAGTGAATGGAAAGTTGATCATCGTTCATTGTCCAGAAATCACACTGTTTTTTGTCCAAACATGCGAAAAGTCCGAAACTCCCATCCCTCGCTTCCTCTGCGCCACTGGATAAGTCTCCTACGTCAAGTCGATTCTGTGCATCTATGGCCTGTGCTTAGCTTCGGTGTTTGAAAATGAGGGATGATGCCAGCAACTACCCTTTGGCATAGGCAATGAGGTCCTGCAAAGTGGGCCCTTGGAAGACTTTGGACCTTCAACCGGTCCGCTTTCCACGAAAACTGCATGAGAACCCAGCAGTTTAACCTCAATGCGATAGCGCTTTTGAATCTCTTTAAATGAATTCCCCTGCCACGAGCTCCCACAAATCACAGAATCCCCCTCTTTGTAAGAGGACCCTCCCCCAGGTCGCAACGAACAGCTCAAGGAACCCTCCGGCTTGGCCGAATTTTCTGGTGCCACCGCCACAACGCGGCGCGAAACCGGCGTCACAGGAGGTGGTGCGCCCAGAAAGGCGCCCTGTAGTGAACTGCAAGCACTGGGCTCCTCAAACTAACAAGAGGGGTCGAGCAAGTCTAGATTCCCCATCCAGAGCCATCCTCATTGAAACTAGAAGTGGAAAATGAAGCCTTGGAAGACCATGTTCCCGCCTTACAAAGAGATGGTTTTCCGCTTCCATTGAAAGTGAGTCAGAGGGTGACCTAGCGGTCAGGTGTGGTAAAGGAGCGGTTTATCCAACCAGTGAGTTAGCCAGTCCAAGGCAGTCCCTCACTTAAGCTGTTGGCTGCGGGGCAACCTGTGTAGTTTCGGAAAGAAAAACCATTCTCCTTGTCAAATTCATCGCGAGAAGCCAGCAAGAGATACTTCTTCCACCTGCGGCAGTGGGGAACCATCCATGTTTCCATGCCCTTCACTTGGATTTGCTGAGGGAATCTGTAAAAAATGGAATATATGTCCAGAAGATTCCAGAAGGGATTTACCCATAGGGAAAGTCAAAGAATCACCTGATCTGCAAAACCACCGCACCGGGGCGCTCAGCTCCGAGGATTGGAGCGGAAGAGTCTGAAGGCACGTTAGGCACGTTTGGTCTGAGACCCTTTGGCCCAGAATTCTGAGTGCCTGTTAGGCTGCGCGGTGCTGCGCCTCTGAAAACAAGTGCCTGTTCGGTGTGCGCTCGAATGGGGTGACTGCAAGTTGAAGCGCCAAAACCGTGCCCGAACCGCGAAACCCATCCGATCGCACGGTTTGCCTGTCACATTCCAGGACCAGCATGCCATAATCCTGGACCGGCCACCGGCCGATGCTGGATGGAAAGAGAGCCAAAGTCGATTGGTTTTGAAGAGTTGAATCAGAGTTGAACTGCCTAATGCAACAAACCTTTCTGAACTTGGCAACCTCACTAGTGCTTGATTCATGTGGCCAAAACCTGTCTCTTTGTCATTTTGGCACATCAAAACTTGAAGATCTTGGGTTGTGGACTCAATGATTTGTTTCAGACCCCCCCACCAGGACCCGACGCCAATTCTCCGATTCGCGGAGAATCGGCTCGCGGCGACGCCGATTGTCCGCCTTGCTCTTCCCAGAGCGTTCAGGCACCTTGGCCTTCGAGAGTTGCACGGCAACTTGTCCGGTCAAACGCAAAAGAAAAACACGGGACACAAGCTGTTTCATTGAGCTGTTACCCCATGACCCCGGGCACTCCAAAATAAGTCCGTCGTGGGACATGTTAAAATATCTGCAAACATCACCAAGCTTCTACCGGTTTGCTGATTGGTAGGTTGGCTTGATGTGAAACACTTGGTACCCCTTTCTGTTCGTCGTACAGAGCGCCAGAAACGCCTTCTCAAGCTTCATCTTCCGGGCGAAGCTCAAGGGCTTCTCTCGGGCCACCACCGCCTGGGCGTGCACTGCGCAGAGGCGCAGAGCGGTGCCATTGCGGTGGTCAATGGTGGTCCCCAAATAGGAGTGGAAACGGTGTTCAGTGCATCGATTTGAGTGTCTGGGGTCTCTTACTTTTCTATCGATTTGAGTGTCTGCATCTGTGCATGTGGCCGTGATTGGTCAGTTTGACATTTCTCAGAGAGATCAGAGATTGCTTCAAACCCTCATCCTCCACAACTGGTTGCGGAACGACCCAAGATGGCGTCTGGTCGTGAAAGACTCTGGACACAATACCAAGAATGGGCGCAACCCGAAAATTGGATCTCTGAGCACCAAATGGGTTTCTCACCACCAAGTCCTGCCTGTACAGCAACGTCTACGTTCACCGTCTCGTTCCGGCAGTGCTCGTCGTACTCCGAGCCTTGGCATCGCCTCGGGTCGTACCGCGCGGCCGGTCTCGCGCGGCGATGCCGGGGATGTTTGGTACCCTCGGTCGGTTGGGAATGAAATGGAATGAGTATGGAATGGGTAGCCCAAAAGTGAGATCACAAGCCCTTGTCTTCTACATCTCATGGTTCTCATGTAAGACTCGGTCTCCGTAGCTTATGACCATCCCCATGCGGAAAATCAAGCCATCTTGGGCCACCACAGGGAGGTTCTCGACCCTTCTCGTTGTCTGAAGCTGGATTTGCTGGATGTTTGGCACTTCTCCGCGACGGTGAATTTCATAAGGATCCCAAGCGCAGAAGGGTTGGAAACCGTTGTTTTGGGGGCGATTTTCCGGAGAGTTCCTGGAAAAAATGTTCGATATTGTTCGATGTTCGTGACAACAAATGTCCATGGACATTAGCAATTGCCAGAGACATTCCTAAAGCGCTCGAGTTTCTGCCAGCCCGATGGATTGCCCGCATGGGCCGCATGCAGAGAAAGAGAGGCATCCTTCTCCACAATTGGGCTTTGAAAGGTAATTCAGAACTGCATGCCTTCAGCGATATGGAAATTGCCACGGGTTGGAAACAGCCTTCCCTCTACCACACATGAGCATCGCCTCGGCACAGCAGTGCCTCCTTAATACTAAAAAAAGAAACGCACCAAACTGTCTTTGTGCGCTTTCGATCTCCAACCCTGAAGGTCTTCGGTTTCAACTTTCCTGTCTCTTTTAATCCCAAAAACCTGTTCAAGACTCTTATAACAATAAAACATTATTTTTGCAAATTGTACAACCTCTTCCTTTGGGATTGTTTTAAACAAGAGTCTACATTCTCCATCAGAACGCAGTCAGTAACTTGAGCTGCCCAGTAGCAGGCAGTAGCGCCGCTTGGGCCCGCTGCAACCTTCCACCAAATCAACAATTTCAGATCTGACATGGAAGACCCAAAGACACTACTTCATATGCAATGTGTTCGCCCCCTTCTTTGTCAGCAATTCATGTCAATAACCAACTGCAACACCCTAGAGCAAACTGTTCGTCTGCTCCACGTAGGTGTCCGTCCATGTTTTGACCTCTGAATTCCATGCCTTCGATCGGTCTGTGCCGTCGCCTCGATGAACAATGTGCCAATGGTCTCCAGGGGCTGTGGAAGCAGTCGTAATCCTGCGCTTCAAAATTTGCGCAGGTCCGATCACTGAAGTCGCTGAAAAACCGTGACCTCTACAATCGATCCTGAAGACCCTGAAGATAGACTTGCGGTTCCTTGGTTCTTTACAAAGCCAGGTCTTTGTTTTAGGGGTGAGTCTGCAGAGTAGCAAAAGCCTATCAAGATCGATCAAGTTGAAAGTGTCGAAGCAAAGCACAAAACCCTAGCCACACCATGGCACATTCGACAAAGTCAGCGAGCAGAATCATAAAAAATGATAAAAACCTATAGGGTGAGTGCGAAAAGGAAAAGTATAGCCCTCCAATCTCCAACAGGATGTCCATGTTGATTGAACTTCGGATTCTCCAAGCAGATTCCTTCGAGATTTGCACATGTAGATTGGTATATATATATATCCACTACCAGAGCCCAGTGGATGATGATGGTTATATAGTAAAGGCCTTTCTCAAAAATAGTGATCATCTTCTACTGACTGTTACTGGTAATGAGCTACACCCTACATGTAGACATGAACCCTGTTTTGAACCTCCGGGTGCTCCATCAATCTTCTGCCCAACAAGTTCCGGTGTCGTGAACCATTTCGCCGTTTGACCAACCAGTCCAATTACAGTACAAGAAAAAATGAACACGAACCCTTTGCAAGTTCCTGGCATAACTTATGGGTCGAACAGGGACACAACATCACTCCATCAACCAGCTAATACCTCCTACCAACAAGATGGATCTTTCTCGATGCTCTGTTTAAAAAACAATGTTGGGCCTTCTTGAAAACAAAACCAAAAATCAGTGAAGTGTGCCAATAGAGAAAAACTCGACCAACCTCTGATCGAAAGTGAAAATGAACAAGCACCCCATGTGCTTTCTTGCTTCCGACGCAAACGAAATTGGTCCTGGAAAGGTTAAAGTGGGAGATCGGAGGAACATCCTGCAGGTAGATACTGTCTGGTCCTGGCATGGTGGATTTAAAGAGCTGAAATGCATTACTTCTCAAGGTACCTCAAAATGGCCAATGCAAAACACACTGGATCGTGGTCTTTTCCAAAACTTGGTGCCAGTGCTGTCTTCATGGTCATTCCTTCCACACTTTGCAACCAAGCCAAATCCTAACAATCTGGTTTCAAGACTCCAGAATGTTCCCAACCACTTGCTGCCAAATCACTTGCCCGGATGAGAGCATCATATCTCACACCGTGTTGTGGCTCATGAGTGTTCAGCACATAATCATACGCGATTTGTTGCCCTCAGGTGTCTGAAAGCGTTTGCACCACTTCCCAGGCAGCATTCAAGCAGGAACATCCTGATTTTGAAGAAAAAAACAAACCAAGTAACAACTAGTGTCCACCAGGTCTCTGTAGCATTGAGCATACATACGTTCACTGGCACCTCCAGAGAACATACAAGGAGGATTGGTGCATGGAAACACTTCCACGCCAAAGTCTCTTGGGCCCTGGAACTCATAATATACCGCGCAGCCGGCTGCTGCTTGATGATATATCGTAGTAGGCCAAAGCAATCTACAGAAATGACACCGCGCCTGGTACATTCCAAAGTGCTGTTTGCACAGCATAGCTTGGCTCATGTCCAGGAGTGCAATTGTGATGCTTCGGCATGGGGTATGTCGGAGGCATGAACCTCATGGCGGCCACTGCGCAACTGACCGGAAAAAACAACGCGACGAAGGTTCCGTGCTCCTTATTGCCACCACCTGCTCGTTCGGGATGCTGGAGCCAAGGCTCATCCACCAACAACATCCAACAACGCTTATCTAAGCACAAACCCTTCTGTTCAGCTTGCCACTTCAACGGCTTGTCCCACGCAAGAGCGCAACATGTCATCTTTAGAAAAATAATGACAATAAACATGTCCTCATCTTGTTCGAGGCGGGGCATTTGTGCGTACTTGACGTCTCGATGGGCGTTGATGATGACGCTCACAGCGTTGCACCCTTGAGCCTTAGGTTCATCTTTGTCGGACCATGACTTCTGCTCCTGACATGTGAACACAATTGGTTTCAGAAAAACTGGCCTTTCCCCCCTTGCGAGAGTTTCGTTGTCCAGTGAGTACAGTGTGTTTTCGGCTGTCTGACCCACAGACACACAAACAGAAACAGATTGTATATACAGAGGTCACAGAACTCGTAAACAAGTCAAATGGGTACGCCAAAACATGCGACCAGCCTCTTGATCAATTTGTTTGTCCTCAAGGTGTTCCTGCAAATGTTCCAATCTCTGAACTCTACAGTTTGTTCTGCCTGAGTACAGTAAGTACAAGGGGACTTATCCTCTGACTAAGCTTGATCTGCAAATAAGAAATGCTTTCACTTGAAGCCCTCCTTCTGAGACTCTAGACCCTGACCGTTTGGTTATGCCGTAGGTTTCGCCCGTGGCAGAAGCAACTCGGCCCTTCTTGAAGCCAAGCCAACCAATCAGAAACCTCCGGCTCCGTGGTTGAAATAGGGAAATGACTCTGGGAGATGTGGTGGGATTAAGAAGTGCTCGGAAACCATGTCTAGCTGCTCCAGAAGTGGACGTCTCAGTGTTTATAGATGTGTTTTAAAGCTATGTAATCCCCTTTTGGGAAAAACCTGGGAAGTAAAACTGTTGGGCAGTAGGAACAGCAAGAGTTCCCACAAGTTCATCTGGGGAGCACCGAGCCCGTTTGTTTAGAAAAACAAACGCTGCTGGCCACGATGCTCGCAGTGGTTGACATCGCAGCGGTAGGCATCGCAGCGCGGAGGTGTTCCCCGTGTTCAAACATGGTGTGTGTTTGCACTTTTTGATACCATTGCAACCAGCTCAGAAAACACCCTTGATACCATTGAAGCTGCTTCAAACAAGCGTGGGTCAAGCTTTTCATCGGCAAAATGTTTAGCTTCGAACCACCGAAAGCATGTTCGAAACCATGTCGTGACGATGTTAGGAAGCATCAGTTTGTGTTGGTGCAAATGTCCCAGCTTGATCTTTAATTCCAGCACTTCGATGCAGCTGGATGTCCAGGTCAACAGGACATGGCTGCAGCCTCTGGAGGCTTTGCTGTTTGCCAAGAAGCTCAGTGTGCACAGGCCGCAACAACTCCTTGCAGTACCTGGGTTGGGCTATATAGTCTCAAGGCTGACCATACGTATACCATATGACGAAACTGCCGCAGAGCCACATACTCATGTCAACCCACATCCCGGCAAGGCCTGATATGGTAAGACAAGACCATGGGAAGCTACCTCGGCATAGAGTTCTGCATGCTCATGAACGTCTTCTAGACCTATACTACTTGGGCGGGCAATAAGGGATGACACCCTTGTGAGAAAAGGAAGAAGTGTGTCTTTGCCACCACCCAGATCACGATTCTTCTTTCGATGCTTCAGGTGACCTGTGAGTTTCCTGGCCTGCGCCTGTCGAACGTCTTTTTTGGGGTGGGGCAGTCCCGAAAAAGGACGATCACCCGAGCAGCAGCCACATGAGTTCCACGGTAAGAAGACCCCAACAAATTGGTCCATCAAGTCCATTGCAAGGCACTCGAGTTGCGCAGCGTTCACATCCCGCTGGACACGCCACTGGTCGATCTTCCCGTCTGGCGGATCATCCAAAGCAAGGAAGAAGAACACATCCATCGACCAGGTGGCTTCTCCAGGAATTGGCTTCCTGGGTGCAGTGTGGGAGATGCCAACAAATTGGAAGAATCTTTGTCTTCTCACAGATCAAACCAGGCGCATGTTAGTCATTTTCAATGACCAGGTGGAATTCTTGGTGGACTGAGGTGAAAGATGCTTAAACCTGTACCATCGACCAAGTGCGATTAATCGAACATCGACCATTGGTTTGCTCAAGCTATCAACCTCGACGATTGAGTTCAACCACAAACTCTCAGACAAGAGTGTCCCAGTCAACTCTCACACCATGCAGGCCATGCCGGTATGGCCGAAGGGCATGGTCCTTCGGCTTCCAAAGATGAGGATCCGCCCGGTCGACCCGGCGTGGATCGCATACGGACCCTCCTCCGTTGGTCTTCGCCGTTCAAAACCAAAGCGTCTGGATCGCGTCGAGGAAGCGCCGGCGGATGTTCTCACACACGGCGGGCCAGACCATCGCCCGTGCGGCACCGATGAAGAGCACCGCCACGCGCAGTGATTCCCGTGGACTCGGCCCGATCGAGAGGGTGCAGGTGATAATGAAGGTTCATCGTTCGCTTCATTTACGGCTTCTGCTGTAAACAGGATTTGTGGACTAATACTCTGTGAGCAAACAACTCAAAGTGCAGGTACCCTCAGTTCGGACACAACCCGCCCAAAACAAAACGCCATCAGTAGGGGGAAAACAGAAGCCAAAACGGCCAACTGCAACCCCAAGCAACCACTGTGTAAATCTTTGTTGGGAAACCATCAAATATGGCCCTCCAACTGGGCTAGATTCAAGTAGGTGACTTGTGGATACTGGATACTTGTGGCCTTTTCTTGGACGCATGGCAAGCTATCAAGGCCTCCCTCTGGCTCGAGCTCCCCACGACTTTTCGGTGTAACCCGTCATGACAAGCGAAAATTCTCAGCGCCGGTGCTCCAGGGGTCCCTGTCATCTTGAGGTGCCTATCAAGAGCGGTGTCCAAAAACGGTATGGTTAAATCAATCCACCAAGATACGCCGCACTGCTTGCCTCGACAGGCGCCTCTGTGGGGTCTGATGCCTTGAAGATGCCGGAGGGTTGTTTGAAAAAGCCACCAACACCCAGGGAGTGTTTGACTTTTTGAGTCCCGATCCGGAGAA